CGGCAGTATATACCAGTAACCATGCCAGGGCCGGAGGACAAGCCAGGCCTGGCCTTCCCCGATCCCTCCCTCCCTATCACCAAGCTGGGAGCAGAGCAGCCCAGCAGAATGGATGGAGTGACACTGAAAATACGTACACAACCCAAAGTGTTGTCAGCTACCCCTGAAACACACACTAGCACAGAAACTACATGGCTTTGATTCATAATTAAAAATTGCTTTGAAAGCCACGACCTCTGCTGTCTTGGCTGAAATTGCTGGCTGGAAAGGAACAAAACCTAATTCTGCACACAACACTGACTCGTCCGTTTCACACATTCTTCCTGGCTGCCCCAGTCGGAGGACAGAGGATGTGAAAGCCCCCGCCCACTCACCTTGTGTTTGTAATAGTTTGCATGGAGCCGTGCCAAGCTCTCGTACATCTGGTCACAGGCTTCAGGCTCTGCGATCTGAAAAACAAAGAAGCCGGGGACTTCAGCTGAAGAGCCCAGCTACCAAGCAGGCCCTGCCCCACACGCAGACCTGGAGGGGCCCGCGCCTGCAGTGAGCACTCCCAGCAAGGCTCCATTCCGAGCCTCTGTAGGAAGTGAGTTTAGCCTAAGGCTTTCACTTTAGAAATCCCCTCTTTGGAGCCATGGCTTGCCCCATTAATCAACCAGCCAACAAACAAACTTCTGCCCAGCCCCTGTGACCCAGCACACTGCCAGCTGCATGTGGAGCCCCAACAATACCGGAGGACGGGCTTTCTGCTCCATAAAGAGTTGCTGTGGAGGCCCACAGGGGCAGTGCTGCTCTGTCCCAGGGGATCGCTGAGTCAGCATCCACTGACGGCAGTGTTTTTGGGTTGACGATAAAAACATGGAACACTGGCATCTTACAGGAAGGTGTCCTGGTGGGGTAGGGGTGAACACAGGCTGCTACAGGCAAGGGCGGCAGCTCAAACCCATTCTGGGGGGGAAGCCGAGGCTGTCTGCTCCCATCAGGATTTACAGCCTGGGAAGTCCTAGGGAGCGGCTCTATCTTCCCTACGGGTGGCGGTGGGGCTGGCTTTTGGTTCCACCTCGCACAAATGGGCACTGGGGAGTGTTGGAGGCACGCCACAGGAATTTGGAGGGGGCTTATCACCTGGCCTCGGGCCTGGGTGCAGGCAGGAGAGCCAGGGCTGGAAGCCAAGAGTGGGCTTCTGAGTTAGATCTTCAAAATGAAATGCATTACAGAAAGACCCTTTCATGAAGCTTAAAAAAATCTGCACTTTCATGTGTGGGAAGCAGGGCGGCTGAAATCCTACAAGAAAGTGATGTTTTAAGATGAAATAGGTGAACTACGGAGAACCGAGAGAGGCCAGCAGGCTTGGCTGGAAGGGGCAAGGCTGAGAACAGGGAGCTGGCGGTTTCTGTGAATAGATGGGGGGAAAGAAACCCTCTGAGCACCCCTACTGGAGGCTCCGGGGACAACAGGGTGAGCGCTCAGGAGAAGGGTTTTGTGCCAGTAGTACCTCCGTCTTTTGAAGCCTAGTGTCCCCCCACCCCCGCCCGGCCCTTGCTGGTGTTATCTACTGCTCCTGACATTATTCTGCCAAGCATTCTGAAGGCTGCTCAGAACAAAACTTTCTCTTTTATGTTTTCCCCTGAATTCAAATGATGGATTTGCCCAACTTAAATCCTTTCTCGAAGCAGGCAGAGCATAAAGCATAAATAAATCAGTAGTTAAGCGTTCTAATCAGGCAGCCCGCTTCTGCCGGTGCCTGCGTGTCAGATGAGGTCCCCAGTTCTCAGCAGACAAAGAAGACGAGCCGTCATCTAGCACTGCTTGATCCGTCCCCAGGTTCAGGCCACTCATCTTGAGAATGCCCAGGTAGCCACTTCAGAGGGAGCAAGGATTATGGGCTGAGGAGGTAGCCAGTGCTCCCTGAATCATAATCAGAGGGTTGGGGTGAAGAGCTGGCAAGAAAGACCCTCTGGAAACCGACTGGTCGGCCCATCCAGGGGAAAGTCCAGCTGGAAGCCAGCAGCACACCCATGGGAGCAGAGCATTTGAAGGTGGTTTCTGCAGCAGGGCATGCCTAACCGTGGATCGTGGATCGGCCAACAAGCCCAGAAGGACCCTGGCACAGAGGGGGAAAGGAAAAGAATGCTGGCCGCCTGTGACGGACTGTCAGCCGGGTTCTCAAGGGTGTTGAGCATTTCATCGCTTGCCTGTTTGCTGCTTCCTGGTGCAGATCTGCTGGCTTATCCTATTTAAAAGGCACCCTGGGAGAAGCTGGTGCATTATTGGTGGGTGGAAAACAATGTGGTGGCTCCTCAGGAAACATACTCCAACAGCCCCCCCCCCCCTAGAGACGGAAGACTAGAAGGCAGGGACCACCCGTTCATTTGCACCCGCTGTTCACGGCAGCATTATGCACAGTGACAAAGGGCAGAAACACCCAGGGCCCATCAACAGGGGAGCGGATGAGTAAGACGTCTTCTATCCACACAACGGAATATTATTCGGCCATTAACTCTCCTTCAGGACAGAGTGGACCTACCCTGTGGGTTTTCCAAGGTTGTAAATGTTTGGAGCAAAAACCCATCAAGGGAAGTGCAATTCTGACACACACTATGACATGGATGAGCCGAGTGAACAAAGTCAGACACAGAAGGACAAGCATCGCATGACCCCCTCCTCTGGAGGGTCCAGACAGAAAGTAGTATAGAGGTGCCCGGGGACTGGAGGTGGGAGAAATGGGGAGTCTAATTGGGGTGGCGAAGTCGTTCTGATGATAGTTACACAACACTGTGAATGCACACGCCGCCACTGAATTCCACATTCCAAGACGGTTAAAACGATAAATTTTATGTTTAGGGTATTTTACCGCCACCCAAAAGGAGACCTTCATCAAGACCTTCGTGCACTTGGCCCTGTCAGGCAGGGGTCACTCGAGACTATGTGGCTCCACAGCTCGGGAGAGCATGGAGTCAAACTGCTTGGGTTCAAATCTTGAACCCAAGAGCCTTGTTAGCAATGGGATGCTGAACAAATAACTTCGTTTCTCATCAGTAAGTTACTATTATTAAAACACAACACCTGCCCATCAGTATGTTTTCCACACACAATTCAGAGACACCAATTCCACGCATCCTGTTGTGCTGCCATCACCAGGAGTCACCAGTAGTTGCCAAGCGTCCCACCAGCACCAGAAACAGACAAGGCACTCCGTGCTTCCTAAGCCCCCTAGGAGCCCTCCCACCGCACTTGCTTCACCCTTCTGCTGTGGGCTGCTATTGAGCCGACATCGTCCTCTAGCACGATCCAGAAATAGGTATCTTAATTATGATCCATTTCACCCCCTAGATTTCCACGTGTCTTTCCTAAGCACCAGACCAGTCTCTACCAGAACCACCATTCAGTGACCAGACTCAGGGCCTTCACTAGACATAACACCAACATCCAGACTTCAGTCTTGCCCAGTGTCTCAGTAACGAGTGTCACGGAAAACAAGCCCTTCCACTGACATCACGCACTGCATCTGGTTGTCTTCGGGCTGGTTCCCGGCCTTGCTTGGTCTTTCGTGAGCTGACATGTGTGAAGAGTACCCTCCTTTTCAAAGAAGCAGCAGCAGTCCCTACGTCTGAGGCGGTGGGAGGCCAGTGGGGGAAACGGCTGGCTGCTCTGCAGCCCGGGTCTGACGGCACCGAGAAGTGCACGTGCCCCACGCCTGCCTAGTTCGTCTTAGTGTGTAATAGTCATGTGGGACCCACACGCCTGCCCAGTTTGTCTTAGTGTTTAACAGTCATGTGGGACCCACACGCCTGCCCAGTTCGTCTTAGTGTGTAACA